CATATCAGTAATAAATTTTAAGCGAGACATAAGAAGGTCTTTTGAATCTTAGTTAAGAATGAACCTCAATTAAGTAGACAGTTTTCAGATCTTTAGCGATTCTGAAATACTTTAGGGTAAGAATACTTTAGTGTAAATACTTTACATAGTATAGGGTCTAGCCTCATATTATCCATTTGGTTAGACTTACGTGTTTAACTCCTATGTTTTTCCTATAGTATTTGGTTATCCCTATGAAAGCGAACTAAGAGTCTTAGAATATGTGAAGTTTGGACATGTTTTCGTCATATAACGTTTTCCTGTTTTCTAAGGCGAGAGTTGATAAAACCTCGGATGTTGACATGACATGCCCATGAATGTGATTCTATCAATATGCAAGTTGCAGTTTTCTTCCAGAAGCAAGATTGATGTCTCCTACACCTTCGGCTGGCAGATTATTGCGGTGACGGGTCAAAAACTGTTATAGAATGGTCAAAAGAAGGAAAGATGGAGATGACGCACCTCTCAGAGAAAAAAATCAGGGCCGCTTGAGACTTGATGTTGGCATGATGGTTCTTTAAGTGTAGGCACGTCGTTGGTCGGAGAGTTTCTTTTTCTCTTTTGAACATGCACAAAAGTATCACTAGAATGGTGGATTGAAGAACATGCAGTTGATTTTTATTATCAAATATTATTTAGATTAAATTTCTAGTTATCATCTCCACATTAGAGGATCGTCTTGATGAAAGATAATTCTGATCATTCTGAGACCTGTTCTCTTATCAGTTGCTTTGTTATTGTTTTCTGACTTCTATCATAATCCAGCCAATGGCAATAGTCACTTAGCATCCTTCCCCTTTCAAAAGCGCAATTGTCCATAGTTCAGAAATCGGCGGGAGCAAACAACCAATTGTAAGCGAGAGAGAAAAGTTTCTCGTTCGTTCCTCCCCAAGGATGAAGAATGAACACGGAGATAAGTTCAAGAGGCCAACTTGTTGGAGAGTCAAGAAAGCAACTTCGGCCTGTAGCTTATATTAGATTCGAGTGTCAAACGGAGACAAAACCTTTGTAAGCTTGTTCTTAAAATATCTCAGAGTCGAATTCCTGGACGGGAGGATCCAACTGTCAAATGATTGTGAAAAGTTCCTGACCACTGAATAGCACGAGAGAGAACATTGAGCAGTTCGCCTTATTTCAGATTGTTTGCCCTCGAAGATATCCAACCACAAATTCACAACTTCATCCTTCGAAAGGGTGAAGTTGGATGGAGTCTCTTCTCCCACCGCCCGATGGAGCGAATGAGCTCGAGAAACGAACCTCCATCTAGTAACCGTCACCTGCATTCCCGGATATGGAACGTGTCGATAAATGCTGCAGGACGCTGCGGCGACATTGGACAGGAGTCTCGATTTGATTACAGGACGAAGACGGAGACCGGAGTAAAAGTTCCGTACTGAAGCAGTACGATGTAATTGACCAGCCCAGATGAGACTGAATACAGTGTGATGTCTAAAACAGGATGATTCTTTACACCGTTGACGAACTAAACGAGGGCGAATGGGGCAGCAGAATTCAGGGTCAGCTTTTTGCAACACTTTACCATTTTCAGCAGCCGAAATCTTCCGAAGTAATCTTTCTGCCATCGTGGTTCCCAATGGGAGAAACTCCGCGAACGCCTGACGGTTAGTTGCAGTTCTCTTGCAAGCAGAGCAATAAATCTCATATGGAAACTTCAAGACTTCTTCGTCCTTCAAATCATCAAACCAACTCAGATGCAGCTCCGGAAGTAGCGACACTGACCGTAAAGCAAAGGTGGTCCCAAGCTTGAATTCAAAGCGAAGATATATATTCTGCTCCGCCAATGCTCTCTATCATGTGAAGGATGTGAAGTTGTGAGCAAAAGGCAGGTGTGGGGCCGTGACGCAGAATGGACGCAAATTTAGCAACTGCTTTATATCTTTTCAGGCCCAATTATGCAGGATCACGTTGATTCATTGAGACAAATCTCGTCGGCATGTGGACGATGGAAGGAAGCTGGATGAGACGGCTGCTCGTTCTCGCGCGTAAAGCCAAGTTACTGTGAAGCTACTTGGCCAACTGCGAAGGTGGCTATGGCGTTGAATTACCATGAACATTCTCCCAGTAAGCTGTTCTTGGATCCAGTGCTGGGGAGGATCTGTTTCGAACAAACACGGGAAATTTCCAAATTAATAAAAAATCATACATAGATATATAAATGAATAAAATATTCCCATGGAATATTGACATTACATTTCAACATAACTTATAACGTATCAGCGAGCATCTTTGTAAATTTCGTTTGAAACAATTTTTATACTTTTCTAAATGTTTCAATAACTTATTTTTGAATCCACGTGATAAGTTCCAAGTAAACGTCAGTTTATGTTGTATGTGTAACTATGGGATATTGTAAGCATGATGCATACGATTATAAAGAGCGAATGCCATATCTAAGCTGTTCACATTTACATAGTAATGAAGATTTTTTGAGAAGATATTTTGAATGAAATGTAATCCAGTTTTGTCGTTGATGTCATATTGCAATATATTTTAGTGTAATCAATATATTAAAAGTGTAAGAAGAGCTAATGGTATTGAAAACAGATGGGAACACCCCATCAAAAAGTGCTTTCTTAAGGGGATAGTATGTGACAGATATAAATTAATATTTTTTAGCTAGACAAGCTCTATCTCTGATGATTATTTGTCGCCTGATGAAATATGGGAATTTTTTTCTCGATAGTGAACTTCATATCTCTTTTCGAGACCTTTTTTTAGTAACTGAAGAATTTTAAATATCAACCGAATAAAGAACTTTGATGAAATTCCCAAAGGACATAGGTTTTCTAATAATTGAAAAACATCATTTCCGCCGGACAACTGGGAGACGATACCCTCGAGCAGTGGATGTATCTCTTTGCGATGAATGTGTAGACCAATTGTTAACTGCGGCTCCGGCTTTCTAGATATCGCAGAATTGATGGACAACACGCCAGGCGAAGTGATTCGACCTGTGCACACATTGTCCTGCATTTGTTAGGACAGCTACCTGTAACATGATTCGGGTTCTGATCCAAATTCAGCCAGATCAGCACTATATTTGCACAAACGAACCTTTCCCTCCCACTTGCACCTTGACTCCCGTGCTGATGATAGTCGAGGTAATGTTTCCTCGCTGGGAAGGGAGTTCCCGTTGACATTCTAAAAAATAGACGCAATGAGGAAATTTGTTGTTGTCACTTGCAAACTGTTTAGCCTCCTCTTTGCTTCCCTCTGCACGTAAGTAAGTAACTGTGCTTTATGCTCATGGATTGTCAATCATGCTAAAGTGTTGCGACGCTGAATATGGATGGATGGACGGTGAGGAAGCGGACAAATGGCTTTGAAGCAAAGACCACACTTGTTTCCAATGGATGTCGCAAATGGGGAAGATTTGGACCAAATCAGCTGCTTCAAATATGGCAACCAAGTTTGTGTACTTTCTTATGGAGTTCCATGGAGCATGTAGCAACATAACTATGTAAATAAATACGAGAGCGTCTCAGCGACAATATCTATGGAGATCAAAATTGTGATGATTATCCTCTTCACGAAGTAAGAACGTCATTTCTGGGGGCGATGTTCTGGTGTGGGTTGGCGAGTTCTGGAAACTGTGGGAAAGCAGGTACTGAACTCATCAGAAGGGATACTCGAGCGAGTCGTACGATATGCAGAGCGTATGTCTCTGAAATTCTCAATGCCAAGGATTTACTAACTCACAATGAGTAGCTAGCTAGCTAGCTTGCTATTCACGAGAAGGGCCGGTCACCAGCCAGTTCCTGGCTCCACAGGTGGACCCTGACTGCACTCGAGTATCGTTTTATGCAGGGGATCAGACTCCGAGTCGCAAGAGCAAGAATCCAACGATGCCACAAGCCCTCAAACTTGCGACGGCGAGCTTAGTTCACACAAAATGGGTCATTCTCCCCAACCTCACTGACCGTGAGGGGAACAGCTCCTCGGACAGAAAATGAAGGGATCCTATGGCGTCCTTTCTTTAAGGCCAGATGGAAGTACTATGTGCACTCAAGTGCGTCAATCAATGGTAATCGACTGAATAATAAAAGGTGAAGAGCCACTGAGTTTTTTACGCTTAAAAAAATTAAGAAGTCAAATCAGTTTCACGGGACAGAGTAGTAGTTAGGACCTGTACTCTTCCTCCAAATTATCCGAGACAATCTGGCAACCTCTGAATACATCCACCATACCCCAATGTACGACCCACCTCACCCAGAACAAATTTAATCTGGCTGGAGACATGGGCTTGAATCCGCTTGGTATCTCAAAAGCACGTAGAGCTGTCCTTAGAAGCCTAGGGACCGCGTATACCTTCACTTCAATTCCAAACAGAACTAGGCTCACCCAGAAGGTCCTCCCCTCCCTCCCTAGGGTCCAGAGAATGAGGTCCAAAGCGTAGCTCCAGCGCGACCTTAGAGAAAGAAGGAGAGAGGGGACTGGTCACGATCACTGGGAGAACGAGGGCAACTGACAGTGTGCACGGCCCGAGCAGTACTGGGAATGTGAGAATCAGAGGGACGGTGGCTAAGCTGACTGCGGAGGAAGGGAGGGACGTAGGGAGAGGAGGTACGCGGGGTCTGGGGTCTGCCATGGTATGAACCGCGTGAAGAGCGAGTGAGGACCTGAGGAGGAAGAGACTTCACACGAAGCCATGCAGGCATGCCATGAGGTAGCGGACGCGAAGGAGAGACGAGAGGAGACTAGAGGAGAGGGGCCGGGACGGGAGGGAGAGGCACTGCGTGCCTGCCTCGCCCAGCCATCATTGCGATTCGGGTGGGGTCCACGGGTGGGGATGGTTGTGGTGGTGGTGCGACGGGAGTGAGGTACGGGCGGGGGGCGGGGTCGAGCTGCCGGGCTTCTGGGAAATTAGGCAGGAAGGAAAGGGGGAAGCGACGGGGATCTCTAGAAAAGAGAAATGCTGATGCAAACCGAGTGCGCTGGAGTGATTTCCAGAGTCCGGGTGCCAGATGTTGTGAAGTTTCGAAACTCCAAATCTTTTCTGATTTTATGCCGAGTCTGTCCGTTCTGCAAATCGTGTGTGCGTGTGTCTGAGCGCGGGGTCCTTTTGTTCGACTATAAAGGGACGGGGACTGCATCGCTCCTCCCGCTTATAGTGGACGGCCTGAACTAGACAGAAGACATCTCATACTCACATTTTCTTGTCCAGCGACGATCAGCACCAACAACCAAACTTCTATCTTTCATCTCCCCGCCCGAATTCTCACTCGGCGTCACCAACGAATGCCCGGCGCCTTTCTGTCGGTGCGCACTTCAAGCCTCTGCAGCTGTTGATCTCTCCGAGGGAACGGAGTGATCTCCGAAGTCCACCATCTCGCCACAGTGCTCCGCTCGTTTCTGTGGAGGCGATTTTCATCGAGAGCTTGCAGAAGAATTTTCATCACGTACAACCTCACAGCGAAACGAGAGGGCGAAACGAGAGGTCCAAAGGTGATCATTTAACGATTGATCTCGAAGACCTGGAAGCGCTTGGAGCTGCGCAGGCTGGGAAAAGAAGGAGGGCCGACGACCGGCGGTTGATCATCAGAGAAAAACGAGAGCACTTTACAGACACTGAGGCAGAGTTAGAATTGAGGGCTTTGAGTCATTTAAGAGAGCAATTTTGTTCTTGAGTAAATTCTTGGTGGCTGGGTCAATTTTGAGGGGAAAAATCTACAACACCAATAGCAGCTGATTGACTGACCAAAGCTTAGAAATGGGCGGGTGTTTGGTATGGAACATTAGCTTGGTGACGTATCGCATGCACAGGCTGCGTGCATTCTACCGATCGAAAGGACTGGTATCGAGGTACATTCGGCTCGAGAACGGGACTACTATTCGATGCTGGGTGCATCTACGTGACTCTTCTCAAAGACGCAAATGGGGCGGAGACAAGAACAAGGGGAAGCCCAATCCCCATCCTACAGTTAAACCCCTCGAGGAGCGCAAGGCCGTCCTCTTCCTACATGGTTTCGCCGAGGACGGTACAGCTGCATTTGAACACCAAGTTGCCGCCTTCAGCAAGGAGTACAGAGTCTACATTCCTGATCTTATTTACTTCGGTTCTTCTTCTACCACAAATCAATCCCGAACCGAGGTTTTCCAAGCCGACTGTATGCATGATTTGCTCATCAAGCTCAATGTTAAGGTCATATTCTCTCTCTCTTTGACAGGACTCTTTTTGACGGGAAAATAATTTGCAATTCAAAAATTTGTTACAGCTTAAAGTTTTTCTGGATGTGAATAATTTGTGTTGACAGGCTCCGATTGACATTGAGAGATGGAAGGATGATATTATGTATAGTGGACTCAAGAAGTATGGTTGTCTGTTTGGTACAGGAGGCACATGTGGTCGGAATAGACTACGGGGGCTTGGTGGCGTTCTGGATGGCGCACAAGTACCCGGAGATGGTTCGAAAACTAGTGCTTTGCAGCAGCGGCATTTGCCAGACTCCGCACACGTACGACTCACTGCTGAGAAGTCTAGAAATGAATCGTGTCGATGAGATTCTACTGCCCACTACCTGCGATGGGCTGAAGCTCACTTACAGTCTGCTGTACTCGAAGCCCGTCCATCTGCCCGATTTCATCCTCCAACAACTCCTAGACGTAAGCATCACCTTATTTCCTCCGGTGACCTGCTTTATCCATTACGTTGAAACGAATCTTTCGGGCTTCGCTTGAGAGAGTCTTCTCACATGCTTAGCTGCTCATGTGAGATTCCTCGATTGCCCATGGCAAAAAGCTTTACTAAGCTTGCCTTATGGGTCAGAGTCAAGGGAAAAGTCTCCAGTCGTGGACAGTGTAGCAGCGTCATCGATATTCCGATTCTGTTGTGATGGGGTCAAAGAGCCACGAGCTGCAGCCTTCGTTTTGGTTGACTTTCACATTTCACGTGGAGAGATCAACATTCTGGCCTTGACTTTGCTTCGGTCGTCGCCGTCGTCGACGGGGGCTTGTTACGTGGCGTCTTTGAAATTGTTTTCTGACATCCTGTCGATTGTGGTTTTGCAGTTCTTCTATTCGGTCAGTTTGCGACCACGCAGAGTACAACTTCTGGAACATCAAGTGATTGGATCCGAGAACTGCCCTCATCTCCCGACTCTGAGACAGGTACATTTCAAGCTGCCCTTCGATTGCCGAGCTAACATCACCATGATTTTTCCTATCGTGAAGTTCTTCGCGCCTCTCTTGTCGATTTCAGACTTTAAATGACCAACTTGTCGGTCTGATTGTGCAGGAAGTACTGATAATTTGGGGAAGAGAGGACAAAATATTCAAGCTCGACCTAGCGTACCAGCTACGACAGTAAGTCTCCTTCAATTTTGGAAGACCTGTTCGTTTGTGTGCGGGTGATGGTTGATTCATCCGGTGGATATGACCTCGTGCTGAACTCTGTTAGATGTCAATTGTAGTCAGCCGCCAATGATACTGGATAACCGAGGTGTGCACTGAGTTGATAATGTCTTCTTCGGGGATCTTATTTCCTGTCGAGAAGCAAATGTCATGTCTTATCTGCTTCCATGTTGCCATAATCCTCTGTCACTGATAAGTGCGGTTGTGAATATTTGCAGACATCTGGGACCGAACAATGCAAAATTGGTGATTCTAGATGGATGCGGCCACATGCCACATGCCGAGAAGCACAAGGACTTCAACGCCATCGTATCAGAATTTCTCGATGATTCAGTTCCGGACGATATGTACATGTATCCCGACATCAAGAGCAAAGCTAGGTAGAAAGTCACCACCACGAACAATTTACTTTCTTAGCAGCGAGCGAGCAAGTCATACAGATCGGAAGCGTTTGGACACACACAGAACGAAGTTCTGACCATGGATGAAGATGCGCTACAACTGGTACGAAAATTGACGACCATCTTCATGAGCCCACAATCAGCGAGATACTCTTTTTTCGACGGGATTGGTCATACTTCTGCGCTCTACGTCCCCGATCACGTTCTACGACGAGGAAATCGAAGGGGATCCTAGACGTGTGATTCAGTTCGTTCACAGAAGAGATTTTTATTGCTCCGGATCATCGAGGATGCACTTTGTACAAAATAATGAGTCCTAGTTCGAATGCGGGTCATGATGAACGAGCATTCACTGTAAAAATTCTGAACGCAGTTGTCGTGGCGTAATTTTACCAATCGCTATTCAATACTATCAGAAGTAGAAGCGGGATCTAAAGACACCAGCCCCGTAGCTTCAGTTTGTCACCCTTACTAATTTAGAAGAGCGAGGCCTGATATCCACGAAAATGTGAGGTACGGTATCCAAAGTCTAATATCAACACGCAACAATTTTGCAATGTCACTCAGGTTTCTGTGGTCACTTTTATCGTGTGGTTGTTCTTCGAGGTTTCACAAACTGTCGGAAGATAATTCTCATGCTCCAAAGTCTAATATCAACACGCAACAATTTTGCAATGTCACTCAAGTTTCTGTGGTCACTTTTATCGTGTGGTTGTTCCTCGAGGTTTCACAAACTGTCGGAAGATAATTCTCATGCTTCAAAACACCGGTTCAAATGATTGACATCTTGAGCATTATAAATCTGGCGGTGTCTTCCTCATATAAACTGACCGTGGAAGTACGTTAAATCCGGATTAGTGGTTTGGCTTACACATACTTGCCAGATTCCAATGCAATTGTCCAATAATTTGAGATAAAAAAAATTTTACAATGTCGGTTGAGATAATCTCCCTAAACATAGTTTTATCAGTTTGAGAATTATTTCCCTTTTTAAAACTTCATCTCTGCGAAAATTTCGCGTAATTTATCATAGGCCACGGTTAATTTGTTCATATTCAATTTCCAAAATCGTGCCCCAAAAATACTATCCGAACTCTGCGTCTTAAGGAGCCAAAATCCTTTGAACCCTCGGAAATTAACTGCAAGTTACCGCTCCCAACTCTCTTTCAAACCCAGGCCTCTCAAATGCAATTACGGATGCTGAGATGCTTGATCCCGAGTATCTACCCTGAAATTTTATTTGCAATAAACAATGACAACTCTACCCTTTGAAAGTACTTGAGTATTTCTTCTTGCTCGCAGATTTCTAACTAACTAAGTGGATTTGTTCTAATTATATTTGCAGCTTGATAAATTATTCCTGTCTCATTGTACACAAGGTGTTGATTAAGGTGAAAATCAAAGTGTCAACTCACCAAGTGAGTGTCTCGTGATACCATGTGAACATTGACATGAAATATAACACATGTAACTAACAAAAACATTATTGCTTTTCTTGTGTTTTTATCAACGAACATATTAATCTATCAATCTTTACCTATGTAAACATAGGTGTAGATTGTTGATGTGTCTTTGTTAAATAACACTATTACTCCTTGCCTACCAAATACAAGGATTGTTGACATGTTAGTGTAAACTAACATACTTAACTATTATTTACCAAACATACACAAATTGTTGAAGTAAAGCACAAGGATTGCATTTAATCTCAATTTCTTAGTTTTAATTAAACTCTTGAATTATATTCTTATTTAATCTAATTTAAGTTAGGGTTAGGTCTATGATTATTTTTTGTTAGTATTAGATCTCAGATTTTTGCTATGTATAAGAGAACAATTCATATCTGGCATTGAACATTTTGAAGTTTTTCATTGAAGACCTCGTTGTTCCCGTGTACGTAGTTCAAAGTGACTCGTGATCGAGAGTGAAAAACAATGAATTTCTTGTGGGAGACATTTTTATGAATTTCTCTAGATTCTTATGCATTTTATGTTACCAAGCATACTAATTGCTGAAACGACTATTACAGATAATTCAATCTAACGCTATTTTATGTCCATCTTGAGTAACATTTAATTTATTGTTAATTAGAGATGGTTGCATTGATTGTATATATATATATATATATATATACATTTTCACTATTCACATGTGACTCAGAAATAACTAGTGTTTACATGACTAGATATTCATTTAAATTACATAGTACAACCCATCATGATATCACTATATATACTGAATTTGATATAATTCATGTGTTAGTAAATCATGATATCTTGCAATCTACGATTGTTAAAGTAAATTTATACTTGGTTCAAAATGATGTAATGGTATGTTGCATAGATGTTGGTTATCATATCTACATTATTCATGAATTATGACACTATTTCACACTATTCATGAATTAGCAGCTAGTGATGCAGTATCAAATGATGTTTTCCATTACATGGATACACAAAGAGCTAATCTTTTCGTCCTTTAGACCATGGAGGGAATCTATCAGCACCTACTGCGACATGAGAGACCACCAGAAGAGCCTATTCAACTATGAGGTATGATGCTTCACACTTTAAAGATTCTTTTGTAAGGACTACTTCAATAATAGTTTTATATTGTTACAATAAAACATTGCATAGTGCTATTCACAGTAAGCTATACTTCTCATAAAACGGGAGAACAAACAAAATAAAAAGTCATAGCATATAGTTTGATATATTTTCCAAACGATCCAACTGAATGTTAGGCCCATGTTACCATCTGGGTTCATCTGCTTGGTATTACCATCCTTATACTCTCCAAATTGATCTAAAGGTTTTGTTATATCTGTACTAAACATCTGTGCCGAAGTATTCATGGCAATAATTGACCGCTCGTCCCATTCATGAGGGCAGGAGGCACGACAACAACTTCTCGCTCTCTCTCACAGACTCATTTCGTTCTAGATGGACACGTCATGTCGGTTGCTCGGTGTAGACTCGGCGACAAGATTCAGAAAAGCACGATCTCCTCGGAGAACTGCAACGCAGTCTCGGTGATCGTCCCAAGAGGACGACATGTGACAAACACTCGATCTTCTTTGTCTTCTCCTCCGAAGGGAAGGAGAAGCTTCTAGACAGACATCGATCTCCGTAACGCCTTTTCGGACAGGAAGAGAGAAAGCTAAAAGAATTTAATGACAGAAGGTTACTTCATCTTTGCCGACCGTCGAAAATCCTCGTCGATGACTGACGGTCAGCCGCTTTCGCATATCCACCAGTTCATTCATGCTCGTACAGTCCTCAATCCTCGGTGATATACTGAACGGGTGCATGATTGCCTAAAATGAGAATACTCATTCATGCCCAGTTTACTCATATTCGTTCAGTTTACAAAGTTATACATATATAACAATCTATTTTAAACTTGTTGTGAAGTATTTCCTAGTGCACATATTTAAAAATTCAATTTAGAATAAATACAACACACTTTTTTTATATCAAATATCTTAAAGTATTCTAGTTTATGGAAATAATTAGTTGCTGGTTGATATTACATGGATTTTCCTTAAAGTCATATGAGCAGCAAACACTTCTTCTCAGTGTTTTCATAATTAGCAGCAGTGATTAGAGTGATATGTTCAAACCACTGTCGTAAATTTCGATCTCAACTTAGGGTTCATGTGCAATCAATGGGAAACTTCCGTCCAAATTTGAGAATTGAGCTAGATTTCACCCGAACTTCAAAAACTGACTAGAAAATGAAATTATTATTCAAGTAGTTTGTAAATTAAACTTTCTTTCTAAAATTTTAACTTCAATTGAGAATGTGAGAGAGCGTTCTTGTGTTTCAAATCAAACCATTCTTGTACTAAACAAAAAAGAAGGATGACTACCATAAAAGGCAGACCTCAGCGGGGATTATTGTTCTTGGAGAAACGGAACAGATATAAAAATTGTTGAATAAGAGTAGATAAAGTCGACTGACAGAGCATATGAACCGAGCGCGTATGCTTGACTCGAGTTAGCGTCCTTTGGAGGCAGTTGTGGGCAATGATTCGGACTCCTCGTTGACTGACTGGGAAATGATTATTTCTCACTGCCGTATTTTTCATGTATGGCTTTGGAGCTTGAAATGAAATCATTATATAACAAGCGCTTACACTCATTCCAAAGTTGCAAAGTCCAGTTTTAGCAGCAATATATACTATTGACATACATGAAGATGCAAGAAATTCAGCTAGGTGTACACATGAAACAAAAGTACTATAGTCCAAAATATTTGATGGTAATTGATTGTCACAATTTTACAGGTGGAACAATAAAAACTGCTTTCAGGCATCAAAATCACCGCTTCAAAGCTTTGAACCAGAGTGACTTTCGAGCAATGAGAAGTTGCAATGCACTACAAGTTTCAGTCGTAGGTGACTTCGACGGTTCCAGACCTGTGCACAGCAATTACTTGCGGGCTTCCGTCAGCGAGTAGGTTCTCTTTGTTGATTTTCCCGTCTCCGATAAGTGATAAGATCGATGTTTGCAGCACAAATCTTCAGCTAAGATGTGTCCGATTGTAAAAGTGAAGTAGACTATAAGACTGTCTCTTCAAATTTTCCAGAAACCATCGAAGAAATTTCCCGGGCCTTTGAGGACAAGATTGGAGCTGGTGGACGGTTGGAGTGGTCTGAGATTGCCTCTCTGACGAGGACGGGATCACGCTGGGTTTCGCCCAGAGTGCAGCTTTCCGAGGCGGTGACAGAATCGAGGAGATTTGATTCATCCAGTGGGCCGCGGATTAGGAGTGGGAGAGCGATGCATCAGACCCAATGCTGATGAGTGTTTTGTACCCAAGGCTCAAACGTGAAAGTTGGCTTCGGTTCCAGTGCCAAGCCGTGAGCTCGACGTTTCACCAAAAGGTACCTCGGCGTCAGAATTCCAAGTTGTGTCGACGTGCTGAGACCGAACGTTTTCATCGAGTTCCTTCTCGGATCACGGATTAGGGTTTCTTGAAAACAATGGAGCAGTCGATTCCGTTCCAGATCTTTCGTCACTGCGAAGAAGTAGACGACATTGATATAGAATATAAGATGGGAAGAAACATCAACCCAAACTGAATACCAGGGGCTAGGGTCACATAGTATCGAGATACCCTTTCGTTATCCGCGCACCTGGAATCTAAACTCCGTCAGTAGAGAAAGCAAAATGCGACGAGCTGTTGGGCATGGCAACAAGCTAGGTAATTAATGGTGTCTTGTAGGTAGATCGTCGGTTGTCTTCTAAAGAAAGACATGCGCACCAAACATACAATATAAGATACTAAGTACGTACGACGAAGACGTCCGCGTTCTCGTACACCTCGATGACATAAGTCATTCGGAATGTTTGCCACGATGCAGATTATGGTCCCGGTCTTCGCATCTCGAAACAGCTCCGTTTCAAAGTACAGGCTCGCTGTTAACTTCCCATGCCCTGTCCCTCTCGGCTAGTTGTCAACAGAACCTTGACTGTGGAGGTCGAGTCCAGTGAATTCGCGACGGAAGTACATTCTGCCACTTATCGTGGCAGAGACTACAATTGGAAAAGAAAAAATAGATTGCTCATGTACGAGAGAATCTGGATAAATAGTACGAAATTGATGTATATGCTCAACTGGGCATCTATTTCTCCTCAACCGTAAACTCGTCAGGTGGGATTGCGTGGGTGCTTTACGAGTGCTACTGCACAGAAAGAAAACTGTAGAGTATGAACAATTTGTCACCAGTTTGACCTAGATCATGAGTGTCATTGCAGTTCCTGTTCCATCGACCGACTTTCCGGGAACATTGCCGACCTCATGAGCTACAGCACAAGATTAGTACCACTTGAATCTCAGCGACTACTCGTTCTCAAATCCTGTCACGAGGTCTGCCGTTGGTGAGAACAATTGGAAACTTAGATTTCCTTCTTGAACAGTCATGTTCTACACAAGGCTGTGTGTAACCTACGGCCTCGTGTAGAACACCCTCTAGTTCTCTGCCATGACTGATCAATCAGTGCCCACAGCCCATTGTCATCGATGAGTCTTAGATTCTACAAGCTTGCTGACTGTCAGGCCCTGTGCATGGGGTCTTTTGACAGCTTCGGGGTTCTGGACATGTTTTATTGGGGAATGCATCTGTGGCACATTGGCTCGATCAGGGTGAGAACTGCCAGCAAACATTGTAATATGAACCACGTCAGACTGTTGGGTATGTCATCAGGCATATGGGAGGCCTGATGGGTCCACGTGTCATCAATCGCGGAATAGTATATACTGTATTTTGCTGCAGTCTCTGGGTTTATTCAAAGACAAGTATCAACATGATTTCCCTGGAATTCTATACTTAGGATTGAATCTTTTGATTCACTTTGTGTATGGGTTATATGGTAAACAAGAAGTGTTCCTCCTGGAGATCCACCAGCTTTGAACTACAGGGTCTTGCCTTTCTTCCATTCAAGCTGAGTAGTGATGGACTGTGGTCGTTGTTAAGCCGGTTGCAGCCAGAACCGGGTCACTATGCGGGGCTCCAGAGCGCATGTTTTACTTTCAGAGGTTCATCGATATTTTGAACACGGATTTAAACGCTCTACGAGGCCGAGATATGTATTGGAATACAAATCTTCATCTACTCATCAAACTTGTTGCTTCTCTATATTTGATTTCTAACATGTATTCCTTTTAAGATCCAATGGAGACGGTATAACTTATATAGAGCACTATTTTATTCACTGTTATTGATAATTTGATATCTAAAAATCATTCTAGAACTTTCATCCATTCTAGTGTAATCATACTTGCAAATTGAACTAATCACCACATCTTGTCAATATAACTGAATCAGTAGACATAGAATATGAAGGTTTAAAATTCTTAATCATAGAATGACTATTCTCATGCTAACATACTTTTTAATGGATCATACTTATAACTTGTACCTCCTCAAATTTACTCATCTTAGTATTCTTCAAAATGATATATTATGAATTATTTCTCTTAGAAACTGAAATAATCTTAATTTGAAAAAGTTTAAATTTTCGTTTGCGTAGAATGATCTCATACACCGGCAAATAGGAGTTGAAAATTGAACTTGTTTCAATTGCATCTACTTTTTTCGTCTCTTATCGTTGTAGACTGAAAGTGGGATAGCGTCATTGTTACTGTGCAGGTAGGATCAACTTTTACAAGCCTCTTCTCAGAGGACATATCTCAGGGAAAAGTTTTAGGATTCAAAGCAGGATCAGGGACTGGACAAGTTTGTTTTGAGAATGTTATGTGGCTCGAAATTGTACTGGCAAACTGTCTTCTTATTATTATATCATGTCTATCGTTGCTTGAATGGATTTTATTCAAGAGCTGAAGGTCATGCACCTTCTCGAATGTTGCAATTGAAACCATCAGGAAGTTGATTTTGATCCCTGAACCTTCACTGCAAAAAAATTGGTGGTTTATGCAATTACTACCTAAATTTCTGCTAGCAGGTTGTGAGGTTATTAAGTTCCAGTTAGAGCAAAGTTGAATCGTTATGTATTATTCCCTTTCTCCGTAGGTCATTGTAAACGGAGCTTAACTTGTTGTTTCCGGTAGTTTTCCGACTTATTTCCCTGAATTTAAGGTAGAAATCAATATCAAAACTATTCTTGTCATGGTTTATATGAAATGTCTTTTTAATATAGGACGAAACTCGCAGCTTGCAAACTGCCCCTGTGACCTTTGAATGATCTTGTGACTTCAATATTTCAATGGATGAAATACATTTCTGAGAATAACTCATCTTCGAATCGATGATCTAAAATCATAAAGAGTGCTGCTTTGGTGGATCTTTATATGCTTCATATTGGGGGCCCTTCGATATGTTCGTTGCTCGTTTTGCCACCAGTTTTGCACTTGCCCCTGCAGTCGAGTCATGAGCAGCCTCGCAGGTGTCCTTCGGTCCTGCTCTGCACCGAATTCTAGAATAAGCGTGTGGAGAACCAGCTCGAGAAATTTCATCGTAACTGTTGGAGCTTCGGCGAATCGAGTCCAGCCAGAAGGGAGATAAGGCGCCATTCAAAACAGTCCCGTTGCGTTTAACAAAAGTCCGTCACAGTAGAGAGAGTGAAGCAGCGGTGTGGTGATGTTAATGCCAAGATAGTATCGGCCGCAAAGAAGAATTCATCATCCTCGAAGGCGCAGAAGATGCACCCTGGGATACAGAGCGTACAAAAAGTGACAGCAAAGCACCAGAATTGTGCTTACAAGCGAGACTTTTCGGCCCCCTAGAAAGGAAGTTGTCTTACTACACCTGATCCTAAAACCTAAGACCTAAATCCTGATTCTAAATTTCTAAATTCCTACTCCTCACCTGGCTACTTACTGTACCTGATCCTACTCTAACTACGCTAACAACACCTCCAAGGAAACCATGTTCGACCATAATGTGAAGTTCAGATTATGCTCTTCAAAATCTATCGAAGCCCAATTTACACTGCAAGCCTCCAGAGCCAATCCAAAACGTTACGAGAAGTCATCAAATTGGGCCCTAACTTTCACTCGATTCCAAATTTTCATGAGACCATATCCAGATGAAACCGTGACGAGAATCATCCGGTAGCCTATCCAAACCAGCCGAGAGTGGGTTGGGGATTTGCAACCCAAACTGTGTTCTGCTTCTAGTGTGAGCCAAGCCATCCATGATTGGCCACAAGACGCAGATCCATTGTGACGATTCTAGCACCGACTAAGTGTGTGCGTAGCGTAGCGTCTGTCTGATGTCTTCGACAGTGTAAAGTCGGCCTCAGATCTTGGGAGAAAAAACCGCAGTTGCATTCACCATTGTGAGGCACATCCGAAACCTGTGTGCAACTCTAGCAAAGGTTGTGGATCAACTGAAGAAGACCGCTTAGTATGCACGATGTGGAAGGTGTCCGGGAGAGCAGATGATCTCCGAACTTGACGACAAGTCTGTGGGTTATGGAGATCATATCCTCTTCCGAACCTCAGGATTGATGTTCATCATCACAATTCAGACACCTCTTTCTCAATTAAGTTTGTTCGTTTATTATGATAGCTCGAAGTCAAGGTATTTTACAGTGGTGCATGACAACGAGTCGTTGGGTATGCAAACAGGCTCAGCGCTACTAGCAGAGGAGGATTTGATGCGTAGTGCTCTTACAGCATCGTTGCGAGCCCCTTGCTCATCCTTCAACAGATACTTGACATACCCCCGGTGCTTCAGAGTCTTGTAGTCGTCGCCGTCGCCCTTGTTCAGATCCGCCAGCGCTCCCTTCAGATCGCCCATCTTGATCTTCAGAACTCCCCTTTCCTGCAGGTAGAATGGATAGTACGGATCCAGTTGGAGGGCCTTGTTGGCATCTGACAGTGCCCCTTCGTAGTCCTGAAGCATTGCCTTCACATACATTCGTTCGCTGCCCATGTCAAACGATCAATCATGTCAACACGTCAAACCATTGAAGGAGCAGAGCTGGCCTCTGCCTCTGCCGACTGGCCCAGATCGTTAGAAACAGACACTCTCTTCCTCTCTCTCTCTAGCTTCACCCCATCTCGAGAATTCACACAATCATCTGCGCGGCAATCGAGTTGCATGAATGTTGGTCACTTACGAATAGACGGAGTCGTCTTTGGGGTCCCAGCGGAGAGTGGAATCGAAGTCCACGAGCGCCTCGGCGAACAGCCCGAGCATCTTCTTGGCGCACCCTCGGGCTTTGGCCACGATCTTCGTGTCCAGCGTCACCGCATCGCCTTTCTTCGGATCCATGAGCGTCAGAGCCACCACTCCGGCGTAGCGAGCTTTCGAGGACAGGTTTCCCTTGCGGCTCAGCACGGCCACCAGAGCATCCATGGCTTCGTCGCCGACCGCCGAAGCCATGCCGGACCTCACGTCTTCCACGGAAGTCAGGTTGCGCAGCGCTCTGGCTGCAGCCTCTTGGACGAGCTGGTTCTTCGAGGTCGAGAGGAGATTGACCAGATCCTTCACTGCTCCGAGACAGTCCACGATCTTGTTCGAAATCTCCTCGTTGCTGAAGGCCAAATTGGCCAAAGCCTCCGCTGCTCGTTGCTGCACATCGGCGGAGTGATCCATCGATGTCAGTCTCACCAATTCTTCGATACATTCCGGGCAGATGAGAACGATCATATCTCCGTTGTCTACATTCTCGGAAGCGAGATTCGCCAGAGCTCGAGCTGCCTCCTCCTGCACTTCAGGACTCTCATCGTGGGCGAGCAGCGTCACCAACCGACTCACGGCTTCGGAAGTTTCCAAAATCTTCTTCGACGTTTCTTGACTCACAGTGGCCAGCTCTGCCAGAGCCTCGGCTGCTCTCCGTTGGACTCGAGCGTCGTGGTCGCTGGACATCAGCCTGACCAGCTCGCCCACGCATTCCGGAGAGCGCCTGAAAATCGTCTTGCCATGCTCGACGCTATCACTTCCGATATACGCCACAGCTGTGGCCGCCGCCTCCTGCACCTTCCAATTCTCATCGTTCGACTTCGCGAGCAGCCCCACGAGACCCTTGAGAGCTCCCGGAGTGTCGAGAATCACGCCAGAGATCTCTATATTTCCCGAGCCCAGAGCTGTGAGAACCTCCACTGCTCGGAGCTGAACTTCGGGACAGTGCTCGTCGGTCGAGAGGAGCCTCACCAGTTCGATTATGCAGTCGGGACATTCTGCCAGAATCATAGCCCCGTGCTCCGCGTCGCTGTCGGCCAAGAAAGCCAGAGTCCTCGCAGCTTCCTCTTGGACATCGGGATTTTCATCGTGGGACAGTAGCCTGACGAGCTCTTCGACTGCTCCTGGCGACCCCAGAATCTCTTTCGAATTGTCCACATTCTCGAAAGCCAAACAAGCCAAGAGATGCACCGATCCGTACTGCACATCCTGCCTCTCGGAAATCAGCTTCAACACCTCCGTCACGCACTCGGGACATTGGACCAAGATTGTCTTGCCATTCTCCACGCTGCTGGAAGCTAGGATGCTCAGAAACACCGCCGCCTGCAGCTGGACTTCAACCCTGTCGTGGTTGGAGAGGAGCCAGGTGAGCTCTTTGACAACGCCCGGGAACTCCAGGACTTTCGTGGCGACCTCCAAGCTCCCGAGAGCCAGCTCGGCCAGAGCTTCCCCTGCTTGGTACAGAAGATCGGAGCTACGGTCTTTGGAAATCAGCCTCACCAGTTCCGAGACGAACTCGGGAGTCTCCAGAACCATGAGCTTGGCATTGGCCGGATTGCTCCCGGCCAAAAAGGCCAAGGTCTTGATGGCTTCCTCTTGAACGTCGGGGTTGTCGTCGTTGGACAGGAGAGAGACCACGTCTCTGACAGCTTCAGGGTGCTTGAGAATCTCCTTGGCATTCTCCTCGTTTTCATGAGCTAGGCAAGCGAGCAGGTGCACCGCTCCATACTGGACATCAGCATTGGTCGAAACTAGCAGCCTCACCACTTCTGGTACACACTCCGGTGACTTCTGGAGGATGATCTTCCTGTTCTCCACGCTACTGGTCGCGAGGATGCTCAGCACCTCCGTCGCCTGGAGCTGCACATCGATTCTCTCGTCGTCCGAGAGCAGCCGGACCAAGTCTTTGATGAACGTGCGGTACTCCAGAATCTTGCTGGCGATCTCCAAGCTTACGAGAGCCAGCTGGCCCAGAGCCCCAGCAGCTTGGTAGAGAACATCAGAGCTGTGATCTTTGGTCATCAGCCCCACCAGATCTGTGACACACTCGGGAGAATCCAGAACGATTTTCTTCACGTTCTCGGCGCTCTCGCAGACGAGATTTGCCAAGACTCTGGCGGCTTGATACTGATTGTCAGCTGTCTCATCAGCGGAGAGAAGCTTGCTGAGCTGCCACACAGCTCCTGGACATTCGAGGATATCCTTCGCAATGTCTTCATTTTCAGTAGACAGCTCAGCTAAGGCCTCGACTGCTCGACATCTGACTCCGGCGCTGTAGTCGCTGGAGAGAAGTTTCACCAGTTCTCTTATGCACCACGGTGACTGGCTGATGATCAGATTGCTATTGTCCACGCTTTCCGAGCTCAGATTGGCAACAGTTCTAGCTGCTTCCTCTTGGACATCCGGAGCCTCTTTCTTCGAAAGAAGACTGACTAATCCCTCGATGGCACCCGGAGATTCAAGAATTGTCCTCGATATCTCCGGATCTTCGTACGCTAAATTACCTAGAGCTGTTACTGCTCGGACTTGTACATCGGGTTCATGCGTACTGGAAATGAGCTTCAGAAGTTCAGTTAGCAGTTTTGGACATTCCATGATTATTAACTTGCCATGCTCCTCACTGCTATCGGCCAAAATACCCAGCGCTCTTGCTGCTTCACTATGGACACCAGGATATTCGCTGGTTAGTAACCTACCTATTTTCCTCACCGCTCCTGGAGTCTCCAGAATCTCGCGGGAGGCTTCCACATTCTTGTAAGCCAAGTCGCCTAAAGCCTCGGCTGCTCGCAGTTGCACCTGAGTCTTGGAGCTGTGCTTCTTCGACAGCAGATTCAAGAGGTCTCTGATGCATCCCGGAGCTTCCATGAGAATGGTCTTGCCATTCTCCACGCTCCGTCGGGCTAAGAAGGCCAGCGTTCTCGCTGCTTCCGACTGAACATTCGGAATGTCACTCTTGGAGAGCAGAGTGACCAGATCACTGATGGCTCCCGGGGACATCAAGATCGTGTTGGAGGTCTTCTCGTCCGCCAACGCTTGTTGGGCCAAAGCCTCGAGAGCGCGGACCTGAACATCCTCCACTTGCTCCATCAGTGCGGACAGCAGCTTCAGCAACTCTGCCAAGCATTTGGGAGTCCCGGTGATGATCGTCCTTCCATTCTCCATCTCGTTCAAAGCGAGCAGGGCCTGCACTTGCACGGCGTGGACCTTGTCGCTGGTGATGAGCTTCAGCAGCTCCGACACGCAGGAGGGAGATTGCTGGAATACCTTCTGCCTGTTATCGACGCTGTTTCTTCCGAACATCGCCAGAGCTTTGGCAGCGTGCTCCTGCACGCGAGGGTCGTTGTTCGAAAGCATGCTGACCACCTCTCTCACGACTCCGGGAAACTCCAGGATCGTCTCGGCAACCTCCACATCGCTTCCAGCCATGTTAATCAGAGGCAGCAGAGCATGAAGCTGGCTTTGCTTCTTGAACAACAGCCGCACTAGCTCTTTCACGCATCCCACGGGGATCTTACTTCCGACCGGATTATCCTCGCCCTGGGTCAAATTGGCCAGAATGACACAGACCGTCATCTGCCTTTCGGGAGGAGTGGTCTCTGCAAGAAAGCCCACCAGCTTTTCCAACACATGAGGAGATGCAGAAATTATGGACTCGTGATTCTCCTTGTAGATGGCAAGAGTGGTCAGCGTCTGGAGGACCTGGTTTTGGACATCGTCATCCACCCCTTCCTCCAGGAATGCTGCCACAGCCGCCATGACGTTCTTGGTCTTTGTACTGAGCAGGATTTTGCCCTCCTCATAGACCGCTAAAGAGGCGATGCTCTGAAGGACGTATGTAGCGACCAGCGCCACCGAGGGCCCTGCTTTCCAGAGCAAATGGGCCAGGCCCTCGTCATTCAGCTCACCGGAGGTCAGATAAGTCAGAAACACCTGCAGATTCGAGAAAAGAGGTGCATTCAACCTCCGAGATTCAGGAGCGAGAACGGAAAGTATAGACTCGATCAATTCAAGCAATACATTTCCAATCACCGGAAGCTGACAAGCCATTTTGATGGCCGATTGATTACCTTCTGGACGAACTGCCTCTGAACGCGTGCCTGATCAGATTCATCGTCGTGCTCCGGAAGCAGCTGCAGAATCGGCTCAATCGCGCTCCTCCTAACTCTAATCTTGAAAATCGATCCGGCAATCCGCAGCCTTTCGACTGCCCTCCTGGAGAAATCATCGTCCATATATAGCGCGCACAGGAATAAGACCATCTTCTCCTGATCGTCCATGGCGACGTCAATCTCCTCAGGATCACCGACCACGCCCTCCGAGTCGTCGGCCTCCTCACCTGTCTCGTCAGAGTCGTCAGCCACGCTCTCGCTGTCACTGATGTCCGAGTCCCCATTCTCGGAGTTGGCAGGCTCATCCTGTTCTGCGTCGAACTCCTCGTCGGAATCGATGTCCTCGACCGCCCGAGTCATGCTGTTGTCATCTCCAATGTCGACCACGACCGCTTGATTGTTGGCCGAGCCGAAGAAAGAATCCAGCAGCTTCTCCACCTCTGCCCTCATCTCGCTGCGCACGAAGCTCTTCTGCAGACTGTGCAGGGACCATGTCTTCTGCGAGAAGGACGAATCGCCCGACTTGCTCTGGATGATGATCTTGTTCTCGACTCGGAGCATGGACCCATTGTCCTCCAGCTCGCTTCTCCACCTGGTGAACATGTACAGGTTGCCTCCGCGCTTGCGGCAGTGCCATCCATACAGGAGCTTCACCACCGCCTCGGGCGTGGACGGGCTTTCCAGAACGGAGCTCAGCGTGAGCAGCTCTTGGGCATCTGCGGGCAACGACTGGCGCACCAATTTCATGGTCGCCCAGAAGCTCTTGGGCCTCGTGCCGTCGAACACAGGGGCTCTATTCATGTCATCCAGTTTCAGGAGATCGAAATGCGCTTTGGCTGTGTTCTGCCACTCGTCGATATCATCGGCTCTAGTTCTGTGAATCGTCATCGCCAAGCTGGCAAGTGCTAGTGGATTGTTATCAGTCTGTTTGATCATGCTGTCACTAACATCCTGCAATCAAGTGATGGCGGAACTGAGCTCACTCACATGCACGTTCAATTCCGAACCGGATTTGCATTTGCATTTGCACATCCCATCCCATCCCCTGTCACAATTCTACGAGACTCAGTGCAGCAGCAACCTCAAGACCCAACAAGCTTGCAAAGCACAATCGCAAAACAAAGGAACCTCGAAAAGTCCGGACTTTGCGCAAGCTTGACATCGAGCTCCTGATCACGACGATCTAATTCTTTCTTCGAATGTGCGGATTTCTGTCGTCTGCTATGCTAGCACTCTCAAATGCTCCGAACCCGGGATTAGTCAACGAACCTGCAAATGTTTGGGAATTTGGCCATCCAAGAGGCCCGGAACGTGGAGGGCGAGGATTCTACGAGCGTCCTCGAGCTCGACGGACTGAATCTCCACGGGCATGGCATTCTGCAGAAGCGTAGCCTTCTGGGACGTGACCAAGTACTTTACGCGATCCCCTCCGAGTTCTACAACCTGTTGCAGCGGCTCTAGCAGCCACACGTCGTCCAGAATGACCAGGATGGTTCTACTTTTCATGCGCGTCCTCAGCACATTCGGCGTGGTGCTAGCTATTTCCTCTACGTCCGACCCTCGCCCGCCCAGGCTCCGCAGCAGCTCCATCTGCGTGTTCTGCGACAGCATCCTGGGTCCGCACTGCAGAATGGCCACATGATCGAACGTCCGGCCCGTGGACGACGTTTGATTCGCGTAGTGCAGCGCAATGGCCTTGGCGAGAGTCGACTTGCCTCTCCCCGGGCCGCCGTGCAGCAGAATCACTCTCGGTCCGGCCGGATTCTCCAGAGCCTGGTAGATTGCAGACTCGGAAATTCGGAAGGGCACGTACTTGGATTCCACGAGCGGGAGCAGCGGTGGGAGGAGAGGCCTCTTGACCAGCGAGCTGATTCTCAAGCTTCCAACTTCCTTTCCCATTCCTATCTCTTCTCTGAGCGACAGCAGTGGGAGATCCGCGAAGGCGTCGATCACATCCTTCAGCGTCTGTGATAATCTGGACGGGAAGACGACGGCTCTGAAGTGGAAGCAGTAGATGCGCCCGAACCACGATCGGTTCTCCATGTTCCTGAGCTTCGTTTCCTCGGCCTGGAACAAGCTGAGCGCCCTGTTGAGCTTAGCCACCAATTGCAATCCGACCTCCTCGGAGATTATTCCCTGTTTCGACATCTTGGCCATCCACATGCTGTACTCGTGGTGGAGTCTCTCAATCTGCACGCCGAAGTCATCCCACTCATCCGATGCGTTGTACCTGTTGTTCCCCATGGTCTGGATGGCCGTCACCGACTGAATGATCGAGCCTCCGGCTTGAATTGCCTGGGAAAGCACCATTTTGTTCGCCTGCTTCGAACCTGAACAAAACTGGGCCCAGGCGCACCCTCGATCCTGCTTCAGACGAAAGCCTATGGAACCAGATCTTCCTAGATCCTTCTTCCGCTGAACCGATTTCCTGGATCTATCATCCGACTAGCTCCCAGAATTCAACTGAGAGATCTGAATACTACGTCTACAATGCATCTCTCTTTCTTCTTCTCCTGAACAAGCACTCTTTCGAATCCGTATCTTACATAAAGAGGACGGCCTCTTCCTCTTCCTATTCAAATCTTCTGAGATTGGTTCAATTAGTTAACTAGATCTATGTCTCTAACTCTCGTCCTAGACACTCTTCCTGCTCGTCCTGTCTTCTCTAGCGAAACGCTGACATAAGCGACGTCGACGGCTTATTGTGTACTAAAGGCATAAACTTTTCTCGAACCCCAAGCTCCTCCTACAGGGCCGAGAGATTCTATGCGCTCGGAACCGCAAGAGTCGAGTCGAGTAGTGCTTTCGTGTTTGACATAGTACTTCAGACCCGCGGACATCAATCGCAGTGCGGTGGAGCTGTCAAATCAATATTGTTGAAGCGAGCCCTCGTGCGAGCCCGGCTCAAGGGGAGATTGTCCGTAACACTATCGGTGGCCCACATGACAACCTTGTTCGCCGAGATTCCAGTTGGAACGTCAGCGTTTTGCTTCATTGGTTCGTACTCGGATGAAAATCATGCTCCTTCTGCACATCTCGTCCGTCGCTAATGCGGGGTTTATTTTTGCCTTGCACTCGAGCACCACACGTGCGCTAATTCTGTAGAGTTTTATGGATGGACTGCCCTATCCCGGAAACCTTGCTCGCCGATCAACCCAGCATCAACCCATTTGACCCGATCGGCATTCGCAATTCGACCCCGGAACTAGATAAGTCAAAATTCCCGAGATGTCAACTGCGTCCGAGGCCCGCACAGTTCTCAGACTCCGAGACACCTCCCAGAGCTTACGTCAACCGATGACGCCTCTGTCCATCAGATTCTACTCAGATAATTTTCCAGATACCCCTCGGCACAAACATCTGCGCGTTCGCTGCATTTTCCTGTGATTCGAGTTGTGATAGCGAGCGCATACATCGCACCATGATGAAGTCAGATGTCCAGGCCTGTTTTAAGCTGAACAGGATCCACGCTTCTCACGAGTAGCAGAAAATCGGTCACATAAGGAGGCAGCAAGCTCTGCCTGTGATCGCCTGCGGCATTTACAGCAGAATAAGGCACGGACCTGCTGTGAAAGGCCAGAGCAAGGCCACCAGAGCCATGGAGATCTTCCCCGGCCGGCTTACAGGCCAGGGAGAAACCGCGGATTCAGCTCAGGGTCTTACCGCTTTAGTGCTCTCGTCACTGTTAGCCCTGCCGCTCATCCAGGCTTGTATTGCCCCGGGTCCATACGAGGAGCTGGCGAAATGAGTAGAATATAGCAGGCTCATGTTCAGAAACCGGAGGAGACGACCGATTGCTGGGTACAAGTTGTGGGTCGTGGAACATGAACCTTCATGTGCTCTCGCAGTACTCTGATTTGACTGCAGTCGTGGGTCCGTCTTACACTGGCCGTAATTGCAGGTCTCGTCTCGAGGACTTGATGTTCGTTGGCACTGTGGCCGTGGCCTCTGTATACTGATGCTGCAGCTGCAGCTGCTGCTCCTGGCTTCCAGGCTCCAGCAACCGGCTCTCGCTCCGAATCTCCACTATTCCGTGAGCCTCCACTGCTCATCGCCATGAGTCGGACTCCTCGTCTGCATCTTGTGATGCGCCTCGTTTGAGGTTGCCCTGCATGTGACCTGTCGACATGCCACACTCCTCCTGTCGTTATCGCAGGGTCCTTTCGATGGTCACACGACATGAGAGAGATGGACTCGCCACACGCACCCGCCAGACGGCCCCTCCGAAATCCATGCACGTCGTGAAGAGCCGGTCGAGATCCCAGAGCTCGAATGTGCGGCATGAATGCACTGGATCAAATCCTAACAGAAACTATTGTATATTTGGGACGATGGTTGGCTTGGCTTGCATGGGCGACGCGGGAGGACTCCTCGGAGACGAGATCGTCGCCCTCAATACGACCCCATAGAAAACCCGCTGCACTGGTGCCACTGCAGACCGAATTCCGGACTTCAAAACATGCGCATCCTCGTATAGTCTACACTCGACGTTTACTGTTGACCCTTTTCGTCACCAGGGACATTATCTCCTTCCCTCGAAATTTTCCGCTTGAATGTAAAAGGCCTTTAAAGAGCACGAAGCTGGACCTTAACTTGACCCTCACACAAGCAGGTTACCTGTTGAAGAGCTTGTACATGCTCGGCGAATCTCGTGTTGTTCCTTCTGTAAGTAGTTGTTAAGGAAAAATCAAAAGGCCCTCAATATCAAAAGCCTCTATAGATTGAATGATTTATAGATTATATTCGACGGTGGATAGTGTAACTGCCCTTCTGACTCTCTTCATGCTGTGCCAACCAACGCCAAGTGCACTCAAGCAAATGTAGTGCTCTCAGTGACCTATAACTTTACTGATTGAACGGCGCATAAATTCTTCGTCTGAGACCATCGAGGTCAACTCGCGGTCGGCCTTGTACTCTACAATGACATGGGTGCCACCGGAATGTGCAACAGTCGGAAGGTGTATCCCGCTTTCTTACTGCTTCAACTTTCAAGCTATTTCAAAATCCTCGACGAAACTTAGCAAAAGACAAGAGAGCAAACATGTGATGGTCATGTGTACATCTGATGCGCGCTGATCGATTGATGCCCATTCGCATCCAGTGAGTACCGAGCGCCAAAATAGGACTGTACTGCCTCTTCATACGTTCTAGTGAAAAAAATATGATGTGTTTGGGTCCGCTTATTGCATCAAGTGAAAGCTGAGATTTGCTCGGTTTCAACAAGTATTCGAATCAGAGAGCGCTATTATATTGACGAGACTGTTCAGCATGGCACGAAGATCGTCACACACGACGTCAGCTGCAAATTCACTTGCACCAATTCACTCTCCTAGCGATGAAATCACCAAACAAACCTTTGTGCAAACACTTGGTTGGCTTTCATACAGATGAGCATCAACTGCAAGTTATACCTCTGAATATGCAAGAGCAGTCAACGAACAAACCTTTCTCCACTTAGAAGTAGATTGATTCTGTATGTTCTTTAACAATCATCCACATACTGCATTCGGTATCTAAACGCCTATTGTGCTATTCACGTTTACTTTTCACTTGGCTCAGTAGTATGCTGGTGAGGAGCACTCAACCTCAACCTGACAGATAGACAAATTAGATTGACATATTTGCATTCACTAAACATAGAAGCTTGAAATGTGCAGAGGTAGAAAGGTTAAGACAGTACTTGAAAGTGTACTTCCTCCAGTCCGGAAGATTGTTTGTATCATGTCAGCCTCAAGATTCTTTTTGGTGTACAGACCTTTTTGGGCACAAATTGACAATTGCTATTAGGCGTTGTATGATCGCTTAGCTTATCGAGTATGAGCTCTCGATAAGCTTATCGAGAGCTCATATTCTTCGTCTCTTCATTTTCGGTGGAACGGATGAGCAGCTCGAAGGTTCGTACTAATTCTTCTCCTATCACTCTGTGAAGCTTCTATTGCCAAAGGCAGGCTGCTGATTATCCAGTCACTGACTATAACCTGAAAAGACTTCGCAGCACCAACCTTTAATTTCGTCCTTATGTTTCAATTGAGAACGAGTATGAGTAACGATTCTCAAATGAACGATGCACAACTTCCATCTCCCAGTGTTCATTTTACCTGCTTTTATAAGTATTCAGTTATATGATATTCACACGAAGTCGGGCTGAACAAGTTGAACGACACGGAAAACTGCCAGCGGTCCCTTAGATCTACTTGTCTTATGCAGTTGAATCGGTATTTGTTTCCCTGTTGTCGTCAGCACGGTTGTGAAGTTTAACCGTCAGCTTCTACCACCACCAGTCCCATTGTGGGCAGCTTCTTTCACGTCGGAATGGAGTGTACAGTCCCATCGTTAGCAGCTGATGGCACGATACACGGAAGACATTGCAACTGGTGCAGAGAGCAAGAGAATTGCACAGTTACATATCCGAAGACAAATTCTACCAATTTTGATGCTCACTGGCAGCTCCACTTAGAAACGGAACCATCTACAATAGGTTGTCAAAATTTGGCACGGAAAATTTGCTGCTTGTAGACAGAGGAAGACGAATCACTTTACTCGAGGGTTGGTGTGCATTATCCTCATGGGAAGCGGAAGGAATTTGTTCCGCAAACAACTTCAAGTTCTTGATTCTGGATAGCACAACATGTGCGCCGAGGGTTGCATTCCAGCGGCGGTTGTTCATCATCATGAAATCTATGGAAAGAAAAACCAACCCGTCTACGAGAGAGTTCATAAATCTATGACTAGGCCAAGCAGTCTTCCAAAGCGGTGTGATTCGATACTCGGACGATAAATGTCGCCACCCTGATGGTGCGAAACTCACCCGTGTCAGTTCTCGAGTTGCCACTGCCAGAAGATGAGGCCGGTGACACAAGAGTTCGAAGAACTTGTGGGACGGAAGAAGCGTACACCGACCTGCACAAAATGCTAGCGAGAAACAACAATGCCTGAAGCTTGAAATCCCCCATGCTCTACCTGATATGGAACGAGTGTGTGTTTTGAATACGAGAACCACGAATGACGGCGCGGCACTTCAGCTGCAGAATCATGTTGCTCTCTCAACTATAGGAATGTTTCTAGCCTTAGCAGAATTCGAGCTTTGTCTTTCTCGTAGATTTTCTGAAGGATTTCACTCTGCTTTCTGCACAGTGAGTCAATATATTCCCATCCCAAATGTCCTCTCTTCTCGTCTTTCTAAATTTAAGATTGTGGTCCCTCACGGCGAGCCGAGGACAAAGCTCTGGGCCGAAGAGGACTTTGTGCTGTAACGAGGCAGTCGAAGTTCAGCGCCGGATGCGACGCTTTGAGGTACAATCAGGAATTGGGGAACCGTGCGAAGTTTTACAAAGGGGATCGATCGAAACGAGAGAATCGGCTCCCATCCTTATCTTATGTGGGAGCATCATCAAACTCAACAATGCCCGCATGCTACCGGTCTTCGGATTGTACATTGACGGGCGTTGAAACTTCTCCATCCTTCGTTCGGTCGGTCAGCGAAGTCAGTCTCAGTCTCGATTGCGGCCATGGGAACCCAAACTCCCGACTTCCGTAATTCCAGCTCCACTGTTCAGTCATTTCCTGATCTCAGCACACGTAAATCCCCGACACAGACTGCCTCCTCCGTCAGTCAACTCGATCTCGTGGACAACTTACAATACTTCATTACTTGAAACAGAGCCTCCGATTCTACAAAATCTATTCTCCTCATAGGCTCACAGCTTCTGGTTGCAAAATGGATATATTCGTTCTGGAGATCAGGGGAACTCGAATCAATCATACCGTATGATATTACGTATGATGCATACGTCACGAGACCTTTGGATCCCGCTTGGCTTGAGAACAGAAGGCTTGAGTACTGAGACACTGACTAGGGGGATCTCTCGAATGATAGACAGCACGATTTCAGTCATGAACGCCGCACAGTTTGACCCCAACCATTTCAAAATTCGCGTTGTCAAGAGCTCATGGTTTTATTCGGTCTGCACGGAATTTCTGTCGTCAATTTTTTCAAGCCAAATGTTTAAATGTTGGGCTACCAAACCTCGTCGACTTGAGCGCCGAAATCATGACCGATATTCTTGTCTTCATTGGATATGTCGTTAATTAAATTTCTAAAGGTTGTATGACCTTCAAATGTGTTATGAAATACACTTGTAATTGTAGTATGTAAGTTTATTAAAGAGTCAATTAAAGACATAATCATGTACACGATATATGTGTTTCTTATATTTCAGATGAAATCCTGTAGAAAAAATAGCATAAT